AAAGGTAGAATGTTTGCTTTATATAAGTTAGTACTGGGAGGCTAATGTAACACTGAAGTATTGTAGTGATCCCTGTGACCATAAATATGGTAGTTGCGATTGCAAAAAGTGTTTCATACTTGTATCAACTGAGAATCCCAGTATGTATAGATTTAGCTCTGTTCATTTTGAAGTAGGAGACCTTAATGAATTGTTGCAGCACATCATGGACTGCAGGGAGGGAAAGAGATGATTTAGAAAGGGATAATATAACATGTAAAGCAGAAAAGGCTCTCTAGATATCCTTGCCAAATGCATAAGGTTTAAAATGCATCATATTACATCAGGAGCTTGACGGCCAGGTATATATCTAACCTGGTCTTGTTTCACCAGAGAGGAGAGATAGCAAGCTAATTGGTAGCTTGAAGTTTAGCATGATCTTTAAATCTACATTTGTTAGGGAAATTGGTCTAAAGTTTTGCAGGGAAACTGGCTCTTTCCCTGGTTTTTGCAATGTAATTATGGTAGAAGTTAATATTTCTTATGAGAAGGAAGCTCTGGACACAACAGCACTACAGACCGATTGTAAGTGAGGAGTCAGTAAGGAGCTGAATATTTGTCGAGCCCTGGAGATTTTTTGTGAGTGTTTTAATAGTGTCTTCCACTGTATTTCTTTAAGGAAAAATGGTGAGCTGCGGAATGTTAAGTCATCTGGCTGAATTTAAGGTAGAGATATCAAGTCTAAAAACTCTTTTATTAGTTCAGGAGTATGCTGTGTAATTGTGGAATCTTATTTTAGATTATAGAGCAAACTGTAATAAATGCTAAATGCATCTGCAATCTCTTTAGAGTTAAATAATTTGTTGCCTGTCTTTGGATGAAATAATTTGTTGTCTGTCTTTGGATGAAAAAGATGAAGTATTTTCTCTTTCGTAGAAATTAGACTTAATTGGTAGAAATTAGACCTCATTGTTCTAATATGGTGGTTATGCTGAGAAAGCAATAGAGATCTGAGTTTGTCTTTCTTTAGATAATTGTGCATTAGTGGATTGAGACGGAGTGTGTTTATTTGAACTTTCAATGTTTCAATGAATTGTAGAAAGGTTGGTAAGTTGCTGAGTCCTTTCACTCTTTAGAGGGTTACTAAATTTCATAAGTATACCTCTGATGTAGGCCTTGTGTGTTTTCCACAGTGTGAAGGGGGTCCACAACAGATTGTGCATTGCTTTTAAAGAATTCATGGATAGATTTACTGATCACTTACAAAAATACATCATTTCTCCATCTATTTGCTTTCTGTGCAGGCCCCCTCCACTATGTATCTCAGATTTGTTCACTTTTCTGTAGTAAAAATGTATCAACCATGAATAGGTTAATTTTTCTAGTATGTAAAATGCACATTTGAAAAAAAAAGTGTTTTTTAGAGAATGTTGATATCTCTATACATCAAATTAAGTTGATAAGGAGATGAAATGAGATAACGTAGCTCTGCAATGGCAGTTCCAAGAGGGGTCTGACATGTTCAGTTGTTTGTAGGGTATGGCATTAAAATCTCCACATAGGATCCCATATCCTTGGCTCAAAGATTTCAGTTTTTTTTCACACCTTTTTCAGAAATGCTAATTTTTTCACATTGGGAAGGTAAACATTAACCAATGGGTACATAATGATATTGATCTCACAGACCAAGATTACAAATCTTCTCAGATCATCAATTTCTGTAGCGATATGTTTAAATGCCACCGTGCTCTTTATTGCTTTTAAGACACCTCGTTTCTTAAATGGCGCATTAGAGCAGTATTAGTAGGGGAATTGACAATGTTCAAATTTTCCCCCGGTTTCTATGAAGTCTTCAGTCTTCTTTACTGGCTGGCCAAGGATGATGTAACTCCTGAACAGGAGTGATGATTGTCTTGGCATTTACTCACTGCATTCCATGATAGTACACTGAGCTGAGCATTTGTGCCTGACAGTGTACAATCATATCACAATAAAGGGGCTGATTTATTAAAGGCAAATAGACTGTGCACTCAAGTGCAGTTGCTTCTAGGCATGGTAAATGAGGTGAAGCTTCACTTTGCAAAGAATACCAAATCAAAGGCAAAAAAAAAAGAAAATAAGCATTTTTGCTTGAACATGATTGAATGATAGAACTAAGCAGAGCTTCCCTTCATTTACTAAGCTCTGGAGCAACTGCACTTGAAGAATGCAACTTAACTTGCAAAGTGCCTTTAGTAAATAAACCCAATATACTAGCAGGCAAGGAAAGAACTTTAATGGCAGTAGCAGTAGCAGCAATGATGCAACAAGTGAGAGCATAGGTGTCACCGCACTGGAGGATGGCACTGTTTAGCGAGTCTTCCATAATGTGCAAATATGCTATAATAGAGACCTGGGGACACCTTTTGTTTATTTCCTTTTTCAGAAGATCAGCAATGATAGCCTTTGTAATTTTCCTATTACAGGTTCCCTTAATCAAAGTGATATATATATATATATATATATATATATATAAATTAGCTCTGTATATCCACCTAATAATAACATTTTATGTGCAGTGTCATGTGGTGCTTGTTAATTAGGCTGAGGTTGTGATCTATTTTTCAAACTCTGCCACTCATTAGGATTTTTTTTCAAGGGCATTTAATATATAAGCTATTTGGGACATCAGGATCTAATAGAGAAAATGTTTATTCTGAATCTAAGCTTCTAACTTCAGCTTGTTCAATTAGGCTTTAACACCAAGGCTGCATTCACACTTTGAGTGTTTTGTAGCTTGAAGCTCTAAACTCCAAAAAAGCTCAAACTTAAAAAATCAATTGTTCTCTATGGTGCCTGTTCACACCTGATCATGGGAACAGACACCATAGAGATCAATTGATTTTTTTAAGTATGAGCATTTTTGGACCTTTGAGCTTCAAGCTACAAAACACTCAAGTGTGAATGCAGCCTTGTATCTAGAAGTTGATTGATTACTATGCACAGCTGTACCAGATTTTGTGTTCACCAGTTAGTAAATCTCTCCTAATGTCTCAGCGGGGATGAGATTCCTCCATCCACCTTCCTTTGTATGAACCGCACAGGAACGCAGTGCAATTTCAGCCCATTCATTTGTAGGAGGAATCCATTAATTTCTATGGCCAGCTTTAATGTGCAATTGAATACATACTGTATAAAGGAGATGTTTTATCTGACCATGTGGCTGCAAAAATCCAAATAAAGGCTTCTGTAAAGGAAGAGTGTTCCTGGTCCAACACTCATTCATTAAATCTTTGCTCTGCTCTTCAGAATGTGTGAGATGCCTGGGTCCCTTGTTTGGTCCCCCCTACTAGCCCCTATCTTATTGCAAGATATGCATGCATCCGATACACAAATAGGTGTGTTAAATGAGAAGAGTCTGTGGGCACCTTTGCAAGCAGCAAAGAAGAATCCACATCTGGGCCAAGAAAACATAACTTTTACACAAAACAAGCTTGGTCAGCTCCTTGCCTGCAGGATGTAATTTGCTAGTTGTAGGACCAGCAGCATTTTGATGATGTTAACAGCATATCATGTAGATGCAGGACTTTCAGGACCTGAATCACCTGCTAGTGGCACTGAGGTTCCCAGAGTGGACTTGTCATTCCTGTGTCCACTAGCTGGTGTCTCCCAGTAGCCAACAGATCCCAATAATCAGTGCCCACCTGATGCTGGCTGCTGTGAGGGTATTTAACTTCTCTACGTTTCTCTTGTGCTTCAGTGTTTTTCCTAGTAGCCGAATTATGCCTGCTGATTGATCCTGATCCTGACCTGTATTTTTTATCATGCAACTTTGTACCTGCTCTCCTTGTTCCTGAATCCCATCCCTGATTCCTCTTCCTGACTGTTTCTTACACCACCAGTTTACCCTGTTAATCCCTGCTCCCATTTTGTCTGTATATATTATACTATATATAATATATTATAGTTAATGAGATTTTCTCACTTAGGTTGCTAGTTAAGTATGTTGTCACTTGGTCCATGGTTCACTTGTATCTTCCTGTTTTGTTTCACTATTAATAAATCATACTGGTCTGGTCTCAGTTTCCTAAGTGTAGCTACGCAAATCTGGGAACTAGAGGATATTTAAAATTCTAGAATAGAAGTCTTGGACAAAGATTTAAGGGTTTTCGTATAAAATTGGTTGACTCAATGATGACAAAGAACATTCTAAGAAAGTTTTGATGACCATTTTCAGAAGAATGTCCGTTCACAATTCCACTACTGTATGGCCAACTTTAGAACTAAAGTCTTTGTTTATGTTTGTGGCACCATTGGGGAGATTTTCCTTTACTTTCATGTGAGAGATAAATGCGCTCTTCTAACCCTTTCCTTCTCTACTAATAATGTATTTCTGGTTTTGCCTGTGTCGCAGTTGGAAGGATTTTCCCTACCTGTAGGGCTTTAAGTATGACATATTTGCAGTCTAAAGGATGACTGGAGACTGAAGGGCAATCCACATGGTAAAATTGGTAAAATAATGAGTGAATAAAATACAAAGTGACAATCTTGGAACTCTTTACATTACTCCACCAGTCTTGGTTACAATCATTTTTTTTTCTTTGTAAAATTAGCAACAGTACAAAACCAACAAAAAGGTTTTATTATTTTTTTTTTTTGTTTAAAGAATTCTAGTTTTCATACGACCTACCAATTTATTTCCACCAGTAGATGTTATTGCGTACATTGCATGTAATGCTGTCAATGTACTAGTCGCATAGTTGCCAACTCCTTATAGTTCTTCTTTTACAAAAGAATATTTACAGCTGAGAATTGCTTATACTGTAAAAACAACTGGGGCATTTGTTGTACAGTTGATTGGGGATGAGGGGGCTTTTTAACCTACAAAGTATGGCTTGGTTCCTTGATATCCAGTACAGTTGGCAACTATGTGTCAGTGCTCACTGTGTGTTGTTTCTATCACAATCAATTCTGATGGATTTATTCTTATGGTGTTCTGCTGAGGTAGGAAGTCAAAGTGGACGGATGCTGGTGAATGCTCCATGGCAGCGGTTACCTCAGTCCATACATCAAGTTCAAGCTATAATTTGGAAGCATTTTTTAGGTAAGAAATATGTTTCCTTACATGGAAATGCTCTTCTTACTGTAGAGAGAAAGTCAGCAGTTATAAAAGTTTTGTCAAGTTCACATTTGATACTCCTTTCCTTTGTATTTTTTTGAAAGTAAGCTAAACTACTTATCTAAGAATACTCTTAACCAATATATGTAACTTAACTTTAATAACACAAATGAACCTTTAAAGGGTTTATTTAGGCATGACCTAAATTTACCCCAAACCAATCTCTCACCAGCCACCTCTTATCCCATTATTTGTATTTATTTTATATTGTGCCTGTAGCAAAAATACAGAAAATTGTTAGCCATACTTACCATCCTTTTTCTTTTCTGGCTTCCTGCTCCTCATATCAGCATACTATGGGGATATACTCTGCCCCTCTGAGCCCATAGGACCACCTTACTGTAAGTATAGATAACATACCCCATGTCGGCAAACTAAAGGGATGTAACTAGCAAAATACATTCATTACACTGACAAAGCAGCAGAAAGTACTGAAGAAGCAAACTGTCTTCGGTTTTCTGTTGATCACATCCAGTCTATAGTATTGAATAATTGTGTTCACAGAAATCCACCAGACTGTTCTGCAGATGCAGAAACATTCGCATGAGCAGCCCACAAGACTGTAATTTTTCTAATTGAATGACCTTACACCTCAGATAACAGAGATGAGCCCTCTACTAGATATGCTGAATGAATCACCTTCGGAATCCATTTCAAAACAATCCTAGGTGGTGTTGCTCATCCCTTTGAACCAGCTTTCAAGAGATATGCAACCAGCCGCAGCCTGGTGGTGTTGGGATATTTTCTGTCCCCGTACCAGAAGATTTCAGCTGTTCCATAAGAAGCACTGAGGTAACATTGCTGTCTGCAGAGGATGAGGAAACCAAGGTTGGGTGCTATGACTATGGCCCAAATTGTCTCCTTTGGGATATTGATCAATAACCATAATAACAAGGGAGTTGGGGGGAACATGTGGATCAACAGAAAGTCCCACATTTCTTTGAAGCTATTCTGAACTATAGGTTTAGGGCATCTGAAGCTGAATTTTAAGTTGGAAGCGTGTGTGTTTCCTAGTGTTACCATCAGACTAGCTGAAAAATGCCCCAAATATATCTTCTGTTCAACACTCGTGATAGTCTGAAAAGAAATTCAAGCAATCTGCCAGTAGGTTCTCTAACTCAGTAGGTAGGCCACTGTCAAGACCTTCAGGTATGTCTCCCCACAGTAAATTTTATCTGAGATCTGCAGGACATGGATGCTTTTGGTGCCACCTTGTTTTGCAATCAACAAAATGGCTGTCTTGGTGTCCATCAGAATATTGACCTGGCAACTTTGGAAGAGATGGACAAGCAACCTGAGTGCAAAGAAGGCAAAGAGATTGGACTGTTTACACAACAGTCCCTTCCACATGCCCTTGGCTCATTTCCCCAAACATTGAGTTCTCCAGCTCTGGTGATCTAAATCCAAAATAAGAATGGTTCAGTCCCCAGATAAGAGGGGCATATCCTATGAGAGGTTGGATGGAATTGTACACAAATGGGGTATTGACAAATAGGTAAAGGTATTCTGATGATCTAGACTTATAGGATGATCCAGGGAACAGATTGTGCTTATTGTTAGGTAATTACCTGGCTTTTAACATTTTTCAGGGAGAGCTGCCAGGAGGTCCATTTTTATTTAACATAGACACAGAGAGCAGAGGCACTGTGTTGTCAGCCCAAAAAGGTGGTTATGAGCATACTGGATATCTAGCAATTGAACAAGTAATTTGCATTTTAATGAATTTTTTTTCCCAGAGATACACTTTACAAGATCTACAAAAAGATCAAGCAAAAGAGTTTTCAATGCCTTTATATATGCAAGCTTATATCATAAGAGTGTGGGTATGTTTGTGACAATCAAACATGATAGAATGCTATTACCTGTTATGTGTTTAGCTGAAAGCCTGAGATGGAGATGGTCTTAGATATTCTCAAGTCTGTCTCTTTGTAGTCCAATCATACAGAACTTTCTTTTTTGGACCTCAGCATTAGTTGTCTTTTTCACCTTTTAAAGTGACCCCATCAGTCATCCACAAAAATCCTAATGGCATTCCACTGTAATAGAATGATTACTGTATACACCTCTCTGGTGGCCCTTGTCTTCTATCTTCACTCTGTCCCAGTGGAACAACAGTATTTGATTGAATACCAGTGAATGTCTGGTGACAGTCATATTCATTCCCCTTAGTGATCATTCTGGTCATAGGCAAGAGCTAGAACTGTTATGCTATTATGGTACTAAGACAGATAGATGTTTAAATATATTAAAGAGCTGACAAGTCCTATCTCTTTATAATTTATGGCCGGGACCTGCTGATCTGCTTAGCGAATGACAGTGTGTACTAACAACATGGGGTTCTGTATTAAGAGCAGCAATCGCTTGGTAAAAGCAGCATACATTACACATTGTTAGGCACACAGTTAACCTTTTGTTTGCCACTTGGTGTTAACCCCTTCCTAGTGACATATACAGTTGCAAGAAAAAGTATGTGAACCCCTTGGAATTACGTGGAGTTTTGCATGAATTGGGCATAAAATGTGCTCTGAACGTCATCTAAATCACAAAAATAGAAGAACACAGTCTGCTGAACATAATACTACACAAACATTAGATGCTGCCATGGTTTCATTGCACATAACATGTAAACATTCACAGTGCATTGAGGAAAAAGTATGTGAGGCCCTAGCTTAATGACTTCTCCCAGAGCTAATTGGAGCCAGGAGTGAGCCAACCTTGACTCCAATCAGTGTGATGATATTGGATGTGTTGCTGACAGCTGTCCTGCCCTTAAAAAACACACACCTGCTTTGGGTTTAATGGTTTCAAGAAGCACTGTCTGATGTGAACCATGCCTCGCAGAAAAGAGCTCTCAGAAGACCTACAATCAAGAATTGTTGACTTGCATGCAGCTGGAAAGGGTTAAAAAAGTATCTCCAAAAGCCTTAATGTTCATGTGTCCATGGTAAGACAGACTGTCTACAAATGGAGAAAGTTTAGCACTGTTGCTACTCTCCCTAGGCGTGGTCGTCCTGTAAAAATGACTGCAAGAGCACAGCGCAGAATGCTGCATGAGGTAAAGAAGAATCCAAGAGTGTCAGCTAAAGACCTACAGAAATCTCTGGCACATGCTAACATTTTTGTTGACACATCTACAATAAGGAAAACATTAAACAAGAATGGAGTACATGGGAGGACACCACGGAGGAAGCCATTGCTGTCCAAAAAGAATATTGCAGCACGTTTGAAGTTTGCAAAAGAGCACCTGGATGTTCCACAGCACTACTGGCAAAATATACTGTGGACAGATGAAACCAAGATTGAGTTGTTTGGGAAGAACACACAACACTATGTGTGGAGAAAAAAAAGGCACAGCACACCAACATCAAAACCTAATCCTCACTGTAAAACATGGCGGAGGGAGCATCATGGTTTGGGGCTGCTTTGTTGCCTCAGGGCCTGGACGGATTGTTGTCATTGATGGGAAAATGAATTCCAGAGTTTTTCAAGACATTTTGCAGGAAAACATACGACCATCTGTCCGCCAACTGAAGCTCCGCAGAGGATGGGTGATGCAACAGGACAATGACCCAAAGCATACAAGTAATTCAACAAAACAATGGCTGCAACAGCACAGAATACACCTTCTGGAGTGGCCCAGTCAAAGTCCTGACCTCAACCCGATTGAAATGCTGTGGCATGACCTTAAGAGAGCGATTCACACCAGACATCCCAAGAATATTGCTACACTGAAACAGTTTTGTGAAGTGGAGTGCTCCAAAATTACTCCAGATCGTTGTGCAGGTCTGATCTGCAACTACAGGAAACGTTTTGGTTGAGGTTATTGCTGCCAAAGGAGGGTCAACCAGTTATTAAGTTCAAAGGTTCACATACTTTTTCCTCCCTGCACTGTGAATGTTTACATGTTATGTGCAATTAAACCATGGCAACATCTAATGTTTGTGTAGTATTATGTTCAGCAGACTGTGTTCTTCTATTGTTGTGACTTAGATGACGTTCAGAGCACATTTTATGCCCAATTCATGCAAAACTCCACGTAATCCCAAGGGGTTCACATACTTTTTCTTGCAACTGTATAGTATTAGGACAGATAGTATTAGTGTTACTTGTGATGCCAGTGTTAGTCAGTTTCCACCCAGCATCAGTTAGTGTGAGATTGGCAGCCGCACTGTCACAGTCCCATTAGAAGTCACTGATTACTGCCTTCACTAGTCTAAAAAAAAATAAATACAAATTCCAGTATATCTACCATAGTTTGTAGATGCTACAACCTTCACACAAACCAATCTATTGGGGTTTTCTTTTATGAAGAAATTAGATTTTTTTTTTGTAATTTTATTGGATATGTTTTATCACAGAAAGTAAAAATATTGTTTTGTTTTTTTCAAATGTTTTGGTCTTTTTTTGTGTTTATGTAATAAAAAATAAAAAACCCACTAGTGATTAAATACCACCAAAAGAAAGCTCTATTTGTGTGAAAAAATTATATCAATTTCTTTAGCTACAGTGTTGCATGACCGCACAACTGTTAAAGTAGTGCAGTGCCGAATAGCAAAAAAATGTCCTAGTCATGAAGGAGGTAAAATATTCCAGAAGCTAAAATAAAACTATGGACTCCCATTTAAAAAAATATGTGCATCTCTAGTTACAGTCCCCCTTGTAAGTCCCTGTAAAGACTTCCAGTGAGGTCAACATATCTCAGTCTCCTATGATGGTGTGGCAACAAAGTTGCACTGCTCATGAATTTAGAGCAGAGTTGTTAGTCTAACGTATAATATGCCTGCTTTCACTACAGATTGATAAAAAAATGTTTCAGGGTATGTGACTATTAGCATTGTCCCTACTGCTTTACAAGCATGCAGCTTGTCAATCAACAACCAGACACACCTAAGTCCTGGCCACTGCTTTCTGAATTGACAGCACTC